ATATATATATATATATATATATATATATATATCCAAATGGTAAAACTGAGTAAATATAATATATCTAAACTTATATATAACTAAAATAATATAATATTATTAATATAAATTATACATAAAAATTATAAATTAATATAAAAGTTAAAGTAAATATCAATCAACTATTATAATATATTTATTTTATAAATATTTATGCCCGTGCATGAGCACGGGAAAATCACCTAGTACATATATGGATACATATCGATACTAATACCAATATGGCAACTTATATAAAAAGAGTATATATTTTAAAGCATTACAGGACAAACACTCGTGACATAGCCAGCTAGCTATCCTCCGTAAAATATGACACACGAAAAGAACAAAAATGTAAAAAGAGAAAAAAGAAAAAACACACGCACACAAAATAAAAGCTGCTAGTACTCTCTCAACTCAACTCATTCACTGCCCTATGCAATGATTTTACGATAAATGTGACAAGTTGAAACAGTCTTTAGCTTTTCTTTTGTTTTTACTTTTTCGTAATACCAACAACGACTTTTGTACGACGATTATTATAACTTAACTACTAAGCTCCTTAATTAGGAATGAACTGATCTGAGCAGCTTTCTCTAATGTGAAGGCTACGATGAGCTCAAGAGAGAAGGCACCCGAACCGAGTCACCTTAAGCACCGGAACTGATTCTTTCTACTGAAGACTAATATATTCTTTTATTTGTTTAATTGGCCCTTCACTATATATACACAAGATGAAAAAGAAGTGAAGACAAGAGAAACTCATCATATCTTGTAACTACAGTTAGATTCTGTTGTCATTATAGGATCTTAAAAATAGCTAGACGACTAAAATGGTTTGTTTATTGTTCAATCATTCTCTTTTGTTACCATGTCTTACTCTCACTCTCACATGCAGTCTATGCATCGTTTTATTCATTATTCAAAATCCATATGTAGAGATATATAGACAAAAGTTAATAATATATTTTTCAAACAGTGCAATCATCAACGAAAAAATAGATGCAATAAATAGTACAAACTAGTGCACAAGTTAAAACCGGTTCGCAATAACGTCATACATATAGTTTTTGAAACATGAAATAATGTATTTCATATTCTTATGTCTTTTTATCTTTTGTGTTTCTCACTTCATTTTGTTCATTTTCTGAAATGCCCCCCATCTCTGCAACGAGACGAGCACTTTCCTTCTCAAAGAAATCGAATTCTTGGAGAATCTTAGCGAGCTTTGTGATGTTATCTTCTTTTATATTCGCAGGGACCTTCTCTTCTTACCCTGACGCACTCATCATCTTCTGTAACTTCTCCTTTTGTCTGATGAAACAAGAAGTCAAATGTAAAAAAAAGTTATTTAAGTTTCGAACATTTTATTTTAATCAGTTAAGATATAGTTACTTTTGTAGTTCAGCAATCTTGTGTCTGATCTTTTCTTGTTCAGCTTCTGCGTTAATAGCTCTGTCCACTTTGAGATACACCTTGAGGTTCTCGTTCACCGTCTCAACTGCAGAACCAGCTGGAGCTGAGTGTTCTCCCTTCAACAGAACCTATAGCAAAGACCCATACACATAAAAGAAAAGAAACACAAAACAGTAGAGAAGCCATAAAGAAAGAAACCAAAGATAAAAGACTTCTTTACCTCTAAGGACGATAGATTTGCAAGTGTTTTAATCTCCAACTCATGAGACTTTACAATCTCGGATGTTAAGTTGTTTTCACACATAGCAAAACCAGGTAACTTTTCGTTCTTCTGTTTCCCCCGCAACTCATCCCTGAGTGCCCTCAGAGACCTCACACTCGCTAAAACAGTTTCCATTTCAGTCTCCACTTTCTCATTAGTCCAATTCTGACATCACAAGAAAAAAAAGTTTACAAAACCAAACAAACTATGAAATATAAAAGTTACTAATAAAAAAAAAAATCTTACTAACCTCTATAGTAGATGGATAGTCACATATCACAATAGAAGCCTTTCTTTCAAAGCTCTTAGGTGAAGGCAGCCGTTGCCATAGCTCTTCAGTAATAAATGGCATAAACGGGTGAAGCAGTCTCAAACCAGTCTCCAAACATACCCATAGAGTATGTTGCGCATGAGCCTTCTCTAGGCTATTATTATCACCAGCACCACTAAAATAAGGCTTGATAGCTTCAATGAACACATCACAAAACTGATATTGCCACCATGCATAAACCGTGTTGGCTGCATCCGAAAACTCAAATGCATCCAGTGACTCCACCGTCTTAGATATGGCCTTGTTTAGCACAGAGAGAATCCATTGGCAGCTCAACGGCATCGTTTCAGGGCTTAAAGCCAGAGGAGGGGAATAACCATCGCCGAGTCTTATCAACGCAAACCTGACTGCGTTCCATAGCTTGTTACACCATTGACGGTAACCACCCACACGGCGAATGTTCAAGTTTATTTTGTCAGACTACAAAACAAACAAACAGAGCAATATTCTTAATTTACAAAATCATCATATAAATTAGCAAAAAATAAACTTGTGTAATGGATAGTACCTGAGCAGTGTAAGAGACGAGTGCAAACCGAAGAGCATCAGCACCACATTCAGGTATACCGTTGGGAAAGTCTTTCTTTTGTTTTTCTTTGGCAGCTTCCACCTCTTCTTTAGCCAAGTTACCTTCTTCTAATCTCTTTTGAAGTTCGCCAAGAGTTGCCCCGTCTATTAAATCAACCGGGTCAATTACATTTCCACTAGATTTTGACATCTTATGCCCATTTGCATCACGTATCATCGAATGCAAATAAACCTATACAACAAACATACAAGTAATAAGATTTAGTCACTGAAAAAGATGCTATGATTTATATATACTTTACCTTGCTGAATGGAACGTCACCACTTAGTTTCAATCCCATCATAACCATACGAGCAACCCAAAAAAAACAGAATATCATGACCAGTTTCTAGGACAGATGTTGGATAAAAGGCTTTGAAGTCGTCAGTTTCTTCATCAGGCCATCCGAGAGAAGATAATGGGAAGATCCCAGAAGAAAACCACGTGTCAAGCACATCTTCATCTTGGGTTAGATCAAACTTCTTCCCAGAGAATTTCTCAGCAGCTTCTTTTCGAGCTTCTTCCTCGGTTCTAGCAACAACCCAATGGTCATTGTAGGCACCAATCTCCTTGAGATTATCTTCCTCGAGAGTGGCGTACCATGCTGGTATTCTGTGACCCCACCAAAGCTGTCTTGAAATACACCAGTCACGTGGGTTCTCTAGCCATCTGTTTAAGGTTCCACTTTGATTGTTAATACAATATTGAAGGTAATCAGAGCATATTTATTGCAGGTCCCTTAAGATGAGTTCCTTAAGGTACAGTCCCTTAGCTTTTAACTGAAAACGTTAAGGGACGTACCTTACATAAGAGCATCTTTAACCCTTGTTGTTTAGAGAGTTGTTTAGGGGGAGAGGAGTGCTTATTTTGAAGAGAGAGAGTGTTCACACTCTCTCTCTTCAAAATAAGCACCCCTCTCCCCTTAAGCAACTCTCTAAGCAACAAGGGTTAAAGATGCTCTAAGGGATTTAAGGGACGTCCCTTAACGTTTTCAGTTAAAAACTAAGGGACCGTACGCTAAAAGATCCAGCTTAAGAGACATACAATAAACATGGTCTCATAGAACCATAGAATTAGTGATAAATGAAAGGAACCTTCTCCACTCTGCAGTGTACTGCTTTGGTATAAATTCTAGCTTCTTGTTTTCATCACTGGTGGCAACATCGAGAGCTTCCTTTGCAATCATGCTGCAGTTTACGTACCATTGAGGCTTAATCATAGGCTCAATAACATCACTTGTTCTTTCGCAAAGACCAAGCTTCATTTCCTTGTTTTGGACACCTCTGTACAGCCCCTGGAATATATACATTGACAAAACAGTTTAATGTAAGATCTAAAAGACACTTTACAAGCAACAACTCTCAGTATATCAAAATAGCTTCTCAAACCAACAAACAAATCAGTCAAGACCTACCTTGTTTTTCAAAGCTTCAACTATTGCCTCACGTGCTGCAAAGCGTGGCATCCCTGTGAAGTCATCCCCACCGTTTGTGTTGATTTTTCCATCATCAGTGAATATGTTAATAAACTCAAGATTGTGACGCTTTCCGAGCTCAAAATCATTGGGATCATGAGCAGGAGTAATCTACAAAAGATGAAAAAAAATTTAGGGCCAGAAACATAGCATCTATATATATAATATAATAAGAGCAAGCATGTACCTTAACACAACCAGTACCAAACTCTGGAAGAACAAGTTTTCCATCGCAGATAATTGGTAACCTGCGTCCATTAAATGGGTGCACAGCAAACTTCCCATGGAGATGAGTGTATCTTGCATCATCAGGATGAATGGCAATGGCGGTATCTCCGAGCATTGTTTCCACCCTTGTAGTGGCAACAACAACCTCGCCCAAACCTCCCTCAAGAGGGTAAGCAAATGAAGTAATAAGACCAAACTCTACTTGGTTCTCATAGCCAGGCACTTTTAGTAGCTCTTTTTCTTTGATGTCGATATGCTCAACCTACAGATATAGACATAATACATATTAAAAAAGGATGATGTTCAATGATCATAGACTAACAGTTGCTGACTTACCTCAGCGTCAGATATAGCTGTTCTCAAATGACAATCCCAATGAACAAGCCGAATGTCCCTGCACAAGTCATGGTTTTTAACTTTTCAAATGGGAACAAAGTCAAAGCTTAAACATACCTATAGATAAGGCCTTCCTTGTAAAACCGTACAAAGGCCTCAGTGACAGCTTTAGATCTTTGCTCGTCCATTGTAAAACACTACAGAAACACATCGGTTACATGAATAGACCAGAGGGATACAAAAGTCCATTTAACATAAATAAATTAAACATTGTAAAATTTTCATAGCATTTGTTGTTCAACAAAGGTATACCTCACGAGACCAATCAAGAGAAGCTCCTAGACGTCGGAGTTGTGTTAGAATCGTGCTACCTTTTTGTTCCTTCCACTTCCACACCTTTTTTTCCATGATCATAAAAGGAAACAACAACGATTTGTTCTTATAAACAATGCAAAAAAATGGAAAATGATTCAAGAGTGTGTTTTTATCATCAACTTACTTCCTTTATGAAATTTTCACGGCCAAGGTCATGCCTACTAATCTTGAGGTTTTTCTCAACCGTAATCTAGAATCAAACAACATGGAACATTGTGCAAAAAGTAAATATTCTACCGCCATGAATTTATGGTAACAGGTGTAAGCTAATATACGAAGACAAACTCCTAATTACTATCGTATATACTGAATCCTCTGTTTTAGGAATATTTGATTATATTTGACTTGGTCCCCAAGTCTAGAGTCTGTATATATTCTATCGATCATTGTCATTGTGAATACATGAAAAACACATTCCTTATATGGTATCAGAGCCATACGATAACCCTAATTTTTTTTTTTTTTTTTCTAAGCCGCCTCTGCCTTCACCTCCTTCCTCCCTTCTCTTATCTCTGCAACTCTTATGTTCTTTGTGTTCCGAACATTACAAAGAACCTTATCTCGGTTTATCGTCTATGTAATACTAACAAAGTTTCGGTTGAATTTTTCCCTGCTTCCTTTCAGGTGAAGGATCTCTGCTCGGGAATCCCGTTAATCCAAGGCAAGACCAAGGATGAGCTGTACGAGTGGCCAGCCAACCCATCCACCCTTAAGTCTTTTTTCGCCTCTTCAAAACCTCACATAACGATGTCGGATTGGCATTTTCGTCTTGGCCATCCATCAGCTTCTATTCTTAAATCTGTTATTTCCAAGTTTTCTTTACCATGCTCTCAATCTGTAACCCCAAACACTTTGTGCTCAGATTGTGCTATCAATAAAACTCACAAACTACCTTTCCACCAAACAACCATCTCTTCTTCCCGACCCTTACAATACATATTTACCGATCTCTGGAGCTCCCCAGTTGTCTCAGTTGATAATTACAAGTATTATCTCGTACTTGTAGATCACTACAGCCGCTACACTTGGTTGTACCCTCTGAAACTCAAGTCACAAGTCAAAGAAATATTCAAGACATTCAAAGCTCTCGTCGAGAATCACTTTTCCCTGCAGATTGGTACATTATTTTCTGACAACGGTGGCGAATTTATAGCTCTTCGTCAACTCCTTGCAGACGCTGGTATCTCCCATCTCACCTCCCCACCACATACACCAGAACATAACGGCATCTCGGAGAGGAAACATCGACATGTCGTAGAGACCGGCCTTACACTATTGACGCATGCCTCAATGCCAAAGTCATACTGGTCTTATGCATTCTCCACTGCCACTTACCTGATCAATCGCCAACCTACTCCAGTTCTTGATATGACCTCACCATTCAACAAGCTCTTTGGAACTCAACCTAACTACAACAAGCTCAGGGTGTTTGGCTCTCTCTGTTTCCCTTGGCTGAGACCTTACACCTCTCATAAACTTGAAGACAGATCCACACCATGTGTTTTCCTTGGATACTCCCCAACACAAAGTGCATATCTTTGTCTCCAACCACATACTGGTAGAATTTATGTCTCAAGACATGTGCGCTTTGACGAGTCTGTGTTCCCATTCAAGAATTCCAATTCTTCTCAACAACCAGCCTCCGACACACCAGCTTCCTCTGCATCAACATTTCCTCTTGTTACAACCATACCCATCCATAAACCATCCCCATCACCCGCCCCTCCAACCCAAAACCAACCACTCGTGCAGCCACCGGGAATCCCGAGCCCAGCTCCTTCTCCGCCAGGACAGGTAAATTCTTCTTCGACTTTACTTAGTACTACTAACGATACCACTGTGAGTGCAGAGCATTCATCCAGCTCCCATCATTCTGTTCCGGTCACACCTGATGCTTCTTCAGGATCCTCTTCGGCTTCAGATCAACCTTCACCTCCTCCATCACCAGCTCCGAGCGTACCGCCGCCAGCTCCTGCTCAACCTCCGAATTCTCACCCAATGCTCACACGACGAAAGAACAACATCACCAAGCCGAACTCCAAATACAACTACTCTGCCGCCTTGTCCTCTGTTGTCCCTGCTGAACCAAACACGCTAGCTCAAGCACTCAGAGACAAGCGTTGGCGCGGCTCTATGTCCTCTGAGATTGATGCGTTTGCACGGAATGGCACATATAATCTGGTTCCAAGGAAGCCAGGCATCAACGTCATTGGCTGCAGATGGATATACAAGAATAAATTTAACTCAGATGGCACTCCCCGATGCTGCAAATCTCGATTAGTTTCCAAGGGGTACAAACAAGAATATGGTCGAGACTACACAGAAACTTTTAGTCCCGTCGTCAAAGCAACCACACTGCGACTTGTGCTTGACATTGCTGTTAGCTACTCCTGGCCTATTCAGCAGCTTGACGTAAACAACGCCTTTCTCCAAGGAACACTCACAGAAGAAGTTTATATGGATCAACCGCCCGGCTTTGTTGATGCAGACAGACCTGACTCCGTATGCAAACTCAACAAAGCAGTCTACGGCCTAAAACAAGCTCCGCGCGCTTGGTACAATGAGCTCAGCACCTTCCTCCTAAGCCTTGGTTTCGTCAACTCTCTTGCTGATACGTCCTTGTTTGTTCTTCGTTCCGGCTCGCAGATCATCTATCTCCTCATCTACGTCGATGACATCTTAGTCACTGGTAACACAAAGTCTGGCATTGCTGAGATCCTTGCTCTCCTTGCAGAACGTTTTTCAGTCAAAGATGCAGAAGACTTGAATTATTTTCTAGGGATTGAAGCGCATCGAACAAAGCAGGGTCTTCATCTCTCTCAAAGAAAATATGTTCTTGATCTCCTCCACAAGTACGACATGACCAGTGCAAAACCAGTGACCACTCCCATGGCATCGACACCAAAGCTTCACCTTCACTCAGGTACTCCACTTGCTGATCCAACTAAATGCAGGCGCCTCATAGAAAGTCTACAATACCTGCAATTTACTCGCTTAGACATTGCCTACGCCGTCAACAAATTATCTCAGTTCATGCACATGCCGAATGAAGATCACTGGCAAGCAGCAAAGAGAATTTTAAGATATCTAGCCGGGACTCCCACTCATGGAATCTACTTCTCTGCGTCCAACAAACTGGTTCTTCATGCATATTCGGATGCCGACTGGGCTGGAGATTCTGATGATTATGTCTCCACCAACTCTTACATTGTCTATCTAGGACGCCATCCAATCTCATGGACATCCAGAAAACAGAGCGGCGTGGCTCGATCGTCTACAGAAGCCGAGTATCGTGCAGTTGCTAATGCTGCCTCGGAACTTAGATGGATTTGCAACGTTCTGTCTGAACTCGGCATCACCCTGCTCTCACCTCATGTAGTCTATTGTGACAATGTTGGTGCTACCTTTCTATGTGCTAATCCAGTCTTCCACTCACGGATGAAACACATAGCAATAGACTACCACTTTGTGCGCAACCAAGTACAGAATGGAGCATTACGAGTGGCTCATGTCAACACCCGTGATCAGTTAGCGGATGCCTTAACAAAGCCCCTTACAAGAGCTCGGTTCCTGGAACTTATTGGCAAGATTGGAGTGCGACCTCCCACTCCATCTTGAGGGAGCGTGTAAGCTAATATACGAAGACAAACTCCTAATTACTATCGTATATACTGAATCCTCTGTTTTAGGAATATTTGATTATATTTGACTTGGTCCCCAAGTCTAGAGTCTGTATATATTCTATCGATCATTGTCATTGTGAATACATGAAAAACACATTCCTTATAACAGGAAGAGAAAAAACAATGTCATTGGCGAACCTGTGTAGCTATACCAGCATGGTCCATCCCTGGCACCCACAGTACATTAAACCCAGACATTCTCTTCCAACGAATAATCAAATCCTGCATCAGTAAATGTCATGCCGCTGATCATCATCAGCACTAACAATAGACAGAGCAATAGCAAAACTAAAAAAAAAAATGTATTATTGAAACCTGAATTGCAGTTGTTAAGGCATGGCCAATATGCAAGACTCCAGTCACATTTGGAGGAGGAAGAACCTACATAAATTCAATTACATGATTAAAGAAGCCCTTTAAGTTTTTTTTTCTCAAGAACCGAACTAAAAGGTCTTACAATAACAAATTTTGGCCTGGAACTCTTAGCATCCGCTATAAAAAAACCATCTTTCTCCCACCAAGCATACCATCTGACCAAATCAAACAGCAACACAGAGGTTATCTAGAGGAACTTTAGTGGGACACCACACACCAAGGCCAGATAGTTCTAAACACTTACGATCTCTCTACGGCAGCTGGACTGTATTGCTTAGCCATCTGTAAAGAGAGCATTTTCCTCTCACCAACAGGAGTTTCAGGGTCCACAAAATCCTCAGGATTCTCTTCAGGTGCATCCCGTTGGGAACTCTTCTTTCTGTTCTTCTTAGGAAGATCGTCATTAACCTGTTAAAAAAATACATCGTCGTTAAAAAATACATCGTAACTTAATCTATGAGATTGAACAAATCAAAGACAGCAAGCAAACCTTGTCATCATTCTTCCGCTCAAGCTCCTCTTCGGTGAGGATCTTCTTCTCTGCTTCGGTCTGCAAAATTTCAGATAACAAAGAGATTAGATTCTCCTCTTGACTTTAACAAACGGCGCAACAATTCGAGGTTCCGTACCATTGTGTAAAGTAAGAGAGACTTGATAAGGTTTGGTGAAACCTAGAAATATAGAGGCAATCGAATTCTCTCTGATAAGGGTTACTTTAAACAAACGTATATATATAGATGATGATAATAAGAAAGTTTCCTTTTTGACTTGTTCTGACTTGAACGCCAAGGTGTCTGAAACGGCGCCAGAAACACAATCGTTCTAGGGACATATATATAATTTTAAAAACAATTAGGAAATTGTTATATTTTTGATTTTAAATTGAAAATATATATTTTTTTTAAATCGGACTTTTTGTATACATCTTGATTTGAATAGGAAGTTACATTTTTAATAAGGAAAACTTTCAAAATTACATGAACTAATATTTCATTTGCTAAAAAATATCCGAACTATTTATCATATCTAATTAATATAAAAAATTAGTTATCAGAATTTTTTTTTTTTTGTATTAACAAGAAAGTCAAAATAGTTTTAATGTTTCTTTAAAGTGAATGAAAATTAGGTAAGATATTTTTGGGATTTTTCCCTTTTGATAACTATAAAAATTCGAAAATTTTGGTATCACGAAATATTTTATTATTATTCTAAATCCCTATTTATGTTTGAAAAGTATATGTTTGCGATAAATAAATAAACATGTATTTAAAATATTAACTGTCAAAATTTATGACGGTGAAAAAACAAAAGTTCAAAGGAAATATCAATTTCGGTCAAAGGAATATATTTCAAAAATGGAAAAAGAAAATAGGATAAGGAAATATCTAATTTACAAAACAAAAAAAAAGGAAATCGCTAAGATTGAGTAGTGAATCTGTTTATTATAAAATAGAAGACATTCAGCTCTTAGAATCAATCACACAATTAAAGAGATCTAAATCAAATTGCTTTGACGAATCCTTAGTATTAAGTTCTTTCCAACTTCTTTTTATTGACTTGCTTGGTCACGCCTTGTCTCTCTCTCTTTTTACTTCGAAAACCTAGTTTTGCTTTTTGTAACCATGGATTCTTCTTCTCGAACAAGATCTAAGAATCCTACTACTACTAACCATAATCCCACCGGTTCGACCGTCCGTGACTCTTCCAAGACAGGAAAGAAGAGAGGTTCCAGAAGTTATGACGACGGTGATTGCAATAACTTGCCTGTCAAGAAACCAAGAACGATGGTTATCCCTCACCAGACCGGCAACAAAATCATGGAACCAAGAACTCGGAGACTCTCCAGACAATTCTGGAAAGCAGGAGACGACAAAGAAGAAGAACGTCCACCTCGCAACTGCGGCAACGATGCAGCCATCAGGGTCCATCCTCAGTTTCTTCACGCCAACGCAACTAGCCACAAGTGGGCGCTCGGAGCATTCGCCGAGCTTCTAGACAACTCTCTAGACGAGGCGTGTAACGGTGCGACATACGTTCATGTCGACTCAACAACTAACGCAAAAGACGGTAAGAGCAGCATGCTCATAGTGCAAGACAATGGAGGCGGGATGGATCCGAATAGGTTTAGAGAGTGTCTCTCTTTAGGGTATTCAAGAAAACGTAATATCTCTAACATGGTTGGTCAATATGGTAACGGATTCAAGACTAGTACAATGAGACTTGGCGCCGACGCAATCGTATTCTCGCGTTCTAGAGGAGCCAATGGTGGTAACACGACACAGAGCGTTGGTATGTTGTCGTATACTTATCTTTACGAGACGAGAAAGAGTGAAGCTGTTGTCCCCACGGTGGACTTTGAGTTGGTGGATAACAACTGGGTCCCGTTGACACACGACTCTGAAGATAAGTGGTTTGATAATCTCGAGACTATAGTGAAATGGGCTCCTTATTTGTCTCAACAAAATATGTTCGACCAGTTTGATTTACTTGAGGAGCAAGGTACTCGGATTGTTATTTATAATCTATGGGATGATGATGAAGGGAAGCTGGAGCTTGACTTTGATACAGATGCTCATGATATTCAACTCAGAGGTGTAAACAGAGACGAGAAGAAGATAGAGATGGCTAAAGCTTACCCTAACTCGAGGCACTTCTTGACTTATCGTCACTCTCTACGTAGCTATGCGTCGATTTTGTATCTTAGACTTCCACCAAACTTCAGAATCATCCTACGTGGCAAAGAGGTGGAGCATCACAGCTTGTTGGAGGACATGATGATGACTGAAGACATAACTTATAGACCGGTGGCTTCTCCAGAGTTGTCACTAGATGAAGACATGGTTGCTGCTCTAAAGATTGGCTTTGTGAAAGATGCTCATCATCATATAGACATACAAGGGTTCAATGTCTACCACAAGAACAGGCTTATCAAGCCGTTTTGGAGGGTTTGGAACGCTGCTGGAAGTGATGGTCGTGGTGTTATTGGTTTGCTTGAAGCTGACTTTATACAACCAGCTCACAACAAGCAAGGGTTTGAGAGGACTGCTCTTCTTGCTAGAGTTGAGAATAGGTTGAATAAGTATCAGAAGACGTATTGGTGTAAGAGGTGTCACGAGATTGGTTATGCACCAAGGAGGATGCAGAAGAATGTTGAAAGTTGTGACATGGAAGCTAGTCAAGTTACTAATAATGCAGCACCAGCTCAAAGCAGGCCAAAGAGAAACTCTCAGAAGGAGGCTACACAAACACAAGCAAGTGTTGCTAAAACAACACTTGAGATTGGGCTTAGGAACAGGACAAATGGGGTTGGGGTAAGTTGCAAGGAAACAAGATCAGTTAATCAAGCAGCTGAGTCTCAGAAGGGGAAAGCACAGCTTGAGCCGCAAGTCAAACAGTTAAAAGCTAGGGCTCAAGATTTGGAGAAGAGGCAAAAGGTGAAAGAGGTGATTGAGCTGCTGAGACAGAAGAGACAGCTTGAGGAGAAGACAAAGAATGCAAAGACTATGGAGACAAAACAGGTGGATGAGTTGAAGAGACAGAAGGGACAGCTTGAGTTGCAACTCAAACAGTCAAAATCTAAGATTCAAGATTTGGAGAAGAGGCACAAGGTCAAAGATGTTGACTCAGAAAAAGAGGTGGATGAGTTGAAGAGACAGAAGGGACAGCTTGAGTTGCAACTCAAACAATCAAAATCTAAGATACAAGATTTGGAGAAGAGGCACAAGGTCAAAGATGTTGAAACAGAAAAAGAGGTGGATGAGTTGAAGAGACAGAAGGCACATTTTGAGTTGAAACTCAAGCAGTCACAGTCTAAGATTCAAGATTTGGAGAAGAGGCAGGTCAAAGATGATGAATCAGAGAAAGAGGTGGATGAGTTGAAGAGACAGAAGGCACATCTTGAGTTGAAACTCAAGCAGTCACAGTCTAAGATTCAAGATTTGGAGAAGAGGCACAAGGCCAAAGATGATGAATCAGAAAAACTTGTGGCTGAGCTGCAGAGACAGAAAGCCTACCTTGTGTTATCAGAGTCTGTAGTCAAAGGCTTAGAGGAGTCACTCGAGGTGAAAGATAATGAATCATCAAAACTGGTGGAAGAGTTAGATCAACAGATAGCATTGCTTGAGTCGCAAGTAGCGAGTTCAAAAGCTAAGATCCATGATTTGGAGAAGTCACAAAAGATTGTAGATGAATCAAAAGCAATGGTGGTAGTGCTGGAGAGGGAGAAAGAGTTGCTTGAGTCACAACTCAAGGTGTCACGAGCAAAGAACCAAGAGTTTGAAAAGTCACAGAAGGCAGTGATGGATGTATTTCAAGAAGAAAGATGCCGCAGAGATGTGACAGAGGATGCCTTGAGGAAGAAGGTACGAGGAGCTTATGATGTCATCGACACGCTAAAAATGAAAATGAATGCCCTCGAAGCGGACCAAGCATTTTGTAAGAAGGTTCACATGCATATGCTTTAAGTACAGCTTCTAAAACTCTTTTGCAAGACTGTATGTACACATTCATTAGAGTCAGGAAGAAAGAGTTTTTCATATTTTGCCACTCATGTTTTTAATTTCTGTCACGGTATTCATGCTTAAATTCATTTATATAAAAGAAAATTCATTTATATAAAGATCAATTTCAATGTTGTTAACATCTTTGTGGGCAACATTAATGTTGATACAAATTATATAAAAAAAATATTTTAAATGACTAATCAAAACATAAGTGAGACTGAAACTATGAACTCAGTCATATTGTGATGGAATGTGATCTCTTCTCAAGATCAGATCTAACTGTCAACCCAAACAAAAAACAGAGACATGGCTTGGTTTGGTTGTTACAGTGAACCACAATGTCTAGATTAATTATCTAAAGACAAGAAAGATCACAATGGTGTGAATCTTAGACCACCTCCATAGCGGGTTCAAGAGAAGTTCATAGCCCAAGCCCCAAACTGATTTTGATTATTAAAACAATATAATGGCAAATATTTTTTAGAGATGCCCCTTAATTAATGCTTTATAAGGGTGAGTCCTAAATGACTTGGCAAGACGAAAGCGATGTCGTTGTGCCTAATCACTTTACGAAACTTCACAGATTCGATCTCTCTCTCACCCTCACCCCACCCCTGCATCAATGGAGTCAGATAACAGCACCAGCTTCACCTACATGCGCCTCCGACAACTCCGACGACCTCATCCGCCACCTCATCCGCCACCTCGTCGCCCACCTCGACTCCTCCCACTCCGTCGACGAGCAGAAGCAAGCCGCCATGGAGATCCGCCTCTTCTCCAAGAACAAACCGGAGAATCGGATCAAAATCGCCAAAGCGGGAGCCGTTAAGCTGCTACTCTCGCTGATCTCCTCTTCCGATCCACCGCTAATCTCGCTGATCTCCTTCTCCGATTCAATAAACATAATTTTTTTTTTAAAGAAATTCCATTTTGGAGTTCACCAATGGACACCCAAAATATTGAAAGTCTTTAACTTTCTAAAATTAATTAAAATAATTAAAAATGCTAAGAACCACTCTTTAAAGTTCAGCAATGGAGTTGCTACCAACACAAAACCCTCGCAGTTAGTTATATTGTATATCAATGCTGCTCTGCTCTTGAAGAAGAACCTCTGAGCTTTGTAGTTACCTTGTAAGATGGCACATCATACGTTCAGGGCGAAGCCAGTGAGAGGAGAGAGGGTGCACCACATGAGCCATTGGGGTATTTTCAACAAAGTATGTTTGATTCCAGGAGCTTACATATAAATATCAAAAGGCTCATTTAAAAAGGCCCGTTTATAATTAAAAGGCCCGTTTACAATTAAATGGGTCGTCTATAAATCATAGGGCTCAGATTTATTTTTAAATCTCGAATTTGTTCGTCCCCTCTGTTTCTCCTCGGCTTCACGGCGGTGCTGTTCATTCCCAGCACGGTGATCGTTTATAACTAAAAGGCCCGTTTACAATTAAATGGGTCGTCTATAAATCAAGGGTACCGTACGGTGCTTCTTATCTCCCTTTCCCCTCAACCCTAATCGTATTATTTCCCAGCACCGATTCCTCTTTTACTTTCTATCGATCGCTTTCTATTTCAGTTGAATTAGGTCTCACAAGGAATTCAATCAGAATCTGACGTTGATTTCTTATCTTCTCTCTTGTTGCAGAAGATGTTAAATTCGATGCAGATACTTCCTCTCGAGGCTCCTCCTATCGACGGAAACCTCGGTCCACTCCCTCCTTCGCAGCTAACGGAACAAGAAATCGAAGAGAAAGAGTTGCAATCAGAGCAAAAGAGATTAAATCAAGCTCCTGAATCTGTAGCGACTCACACGACCCATATCGGAATCATCCACCCGCCTCCAGATATCAGAAACATCGTGGAGACAACGGCACAGTTTGTCTCCAAAAACGGATTGGAGTTTGAGAAGAAGATTATGGCTGGGAATGCCAAGTACGCGAAATTCGGCTTTTTGACCAGCTCTGATCCTTATCACGCGTTTTACCAGCATAAGCTCGCTGAATACCGTGCTCAGAACGAAGATGGAGGTCAGGTTAATGATACTGATGGTACAGATCTTCAACTTGGTGAGGGTGGTGGTGAGGCGGAGGCTGATCTTCAGGCTCAGTTTCGGGTTCCTACTAAGCCTCTTGAACCTCCGGAGCCTGAGAAGTATACAGTTAGACTTCCTGAAGGGATTACAGGGGAGGAGGTTGAGTATATTAAGCTCACAGCGCAGTTTGTGGCGCGGAATGGGAAGTCTTTCTTGACTGGGTTGCAGAGTAGAGAGAATAACAATCCTCAGTTTTGTTTTATGAAGCCGACTCATAGCATGTTCCTTCTTTTTACTTCTCTGGTTGATGCGTATTTCGATGTGTTAAAGCCTCCAGAGGATTTGAAAGAGAAGCTGAGGAAGAGTGGTGCTGATATGACGACGGTTCTTGAGCGTTGTTTGCATCGTCTTGAATGGGATTGTTATCAGGAGCAGCAGAGAAAGAAAGAAGAGGATGAGAAAGAGCAGGAGAGGGTGCAGATGGCTATGATTGATTGGCATGATTTCGTGGTTGTGGAGTCGATTGATTTTGTTGACGAGGAGGACGGGGAGTTGCCACCGCCTATGACACTTGAGGAGGTTATAAGGAGGAGCAAAGTATCTGCAGCGATGGAAGAAGATGAGGTTGTGGAGCCTGGAAAGGAAGTGGAGATGGAGATGGATGAAGAAGAGATGAAGCTTGTCGCTGATGGAATGAGAGCAGCGAACCTGGAAGAGAATGGCGGATCTGTAATGATTGAAAATATGAACGAAGAAGCACCTATGAGAATTGTTAAGAACTGGAAGAGGCCAGAAGATAGGATTCCGACAGAGAGAGATCCTACTAAAGTTGTTATATCTCCAATTACTGGTGAGTTGATTCCCATCAACGAGATGTCTGAGCACATGCGGATTTCGCTTATTGATCCCAAGTTCAAGGAGCAGAAGGACCGTATGTTTGCTAAGATTCGTGAGACCACTCTTGCACAAGATGATGAGATTGCTAAAAACATAGTCGGACTTGCTCGTCTGCGTCCTGATATTTTTGGGACAACTGCAGAAGAAGTCTCAAATGCTGTAAAAGCAGAAATTGAGAAGAAGAAAGATGAGCAGCCAACGCAAGTAATATGGGATGGTCACACGGGAAGTATAGGTCGCACAGCAAACCAAGCGTGGGCTCAGAATGCTAATGGAGAGGAGCAAGGTAATGGCGTTTATGGAGATCCCAATAGCTTCTCTGGTCCAGCTGCTCTTCCCCCTCCTCGACCAGGTGTCCCTATAGTCCGGCCATTGCCACCACCTCCTAATCTCGCCTTGAACCTCCCTCGCCCTCCTCCTTCTGTTCAGTACCCACCAAGGCCATTAGGTGTTCCAATGATGCAAGCCATGCATCCACAACACCAGCTCTCGATGCCTGGGCAACCTGGACACCCGTCGATGATGATGATGAACCGACCACCACAAATGCAGCATGGTATGCATGTGCCGTCTCCACCTGGATCAGAATTTGCTCATCTTCAAGTTCCGAGACATTATGGTCAGCAACCAACACCTCCTATAGGGATGATGCAACCACAACCTATGCATGGGATGCCTCCTCCTCCACCCCCTGGGGAGGCACCACCGCCTCTTCCTGAAGAGCCAGAGCCAAAGAGACAAAAATTCGACGAGTCAGCTCTTGTTCCCGAAGAACAGTTTCTTGCTCAGCATCCGGTAATGTTTTCTATAAACTCGTCAGTCATTTTCTTTTTATCTTTTGTTGCTCGTCTGAGTTGTATCTAACATATTTCGTTTGTAATGTATGCAGGGTTCTGCCACGATCAGAGTCTCTGTTCCTAATGTGGATGACGGGCATGTCATTGAGATCATAGTGCAGTCCTTATCCGAGAACGTAGGTAGTTTGAAGGAAAAAATAGCTGGTGAAACACAAATTCCAGCAAACAAACAGAAGTTAAGTGGCAAAGCTGGGTTCTTAAAGGACAACATGTCGCTTGCACAGTACAATGTCGGAGCAGGAGAAATCTTAACACTGTCTTTGAGAGAACGTGGTGGGAGAAAGAGATAAAGAGTCAGCTGGTGGATGCAGGAAAATGCTTTTTAATCTCTTAATTCTCTTTATATGTTTAATATTGGTGGCCAAAACTCTATGTTCTGCTATATCTCTTTCACACATCTTTACTCTTGGCCTATCATATTTACTATCTATGAATGTTTTGGATTGAAGAAGGATTCTTACTGACCTAAGTTTGTTTTTGGATTTGCAGCTTGTTCTGAGGCAACGTTTTGGGATCTGTAATCTTTTTTTTTTTTAACTCCTCTTTATAATGTGATACTTTGTTTAGTCTTTGTGTGGATCATATTTGGTTAAGCTTACTTTTAGTGCAGTTTGGTTTATCTTCTCTGTAGGTACAATATGAGGATGCTGCTTTGCTTTTTGTTTCTCTCTACAGCTCGTCATAGTGACAGGTACACAACAACTACAATATAAGTCAAAAGATGTTGAAACATTGAGAACCTTGTCTAGGCTTTCTTGTTGGATTGTAAATCGTAACTCCAGGGCCAGCGAGCAGAAGTGCAGAACCATTTGTCCAAGTCTCCAAGACAGTCTTAAGGAAAAAAAATCTCTCAACAGATGAGCAGAAAGAAGAAACGCCAGGGTCATTTGATTTATTGTTCCATTAGGAAGGTAGAAACATTGTAGTTGTCACTGCGTGCCACTAGGTTTTATAGAAATCGAGAACCTTGAAGTATTCATGCAGCATAAAACGAGGCACGTTGTGTATTTTAATGAATTGTACGTTTCAAAAATTGTTTATTGAGCTTCTATATTATGACGTGAGATCATGCAAAGTAAACGAATTGAAGTATAACGCACGTTAATTTAAATCATTTGATTATTAGATTTTTATAATGTTGCTTTGAATTGCAACAAATTAAATATCATACTACATCTTATAACATCAACGGTCATTGTTCATCATCTTCCCAACAAAATATAAAAAAATAGTTTACGTAATTATTTCGTATATGCTTGATTATTTACTACTAATCGTTTATATTACTGTTCAATATCTCTCCGATGGTCAATAAATTAGACAAGCTTACGGACAGTAACACATGTTTAGACATTTATATAACTTTTGAGAAAAATTACTTTGGAGTGAAGTCTGGGTGCTGTATATAAATATCGTCGTTATTTCCTTTTTTTTCCTTCTGCGGAATAAATAAACACACAAACTCAGATCTCACTGATTTGAAGAGAGAAAACCGCAATGACGACGATGCTGCTCCTTTTCGTCGGAGCTCTGATCCTCTCCAGCGTCGGCTACGTCAGATCCGACGCCTCAGATCACCGTTACAAGGATGGAGACACCGTTCCTCTTTACGCCAACAAGGTCGGCCCCTTCCACAATCCAAGGTAACGTGAGATTGCTTTACTAGATCTGAACTTTCAGATCTGAAATTCATCGCTATGCGATTTGATTGTAAAAGCTGATAATGCAATGAATCTGTTGAATTGATCGTATCGCGACATTGGATCCAGGGAATGAACAATGTGAAATGTTTTCTGTGTGTGTGTGATCGGATCTGTGTTTAGATTTGATTACTAGATAGACTGATTTTGGCTCTTATTCGATTGTGATTGCAGTGAGACGTATCGTTATTTTGATCTTCCCTTCTGTGTTCCAGGTACTATCCATATCTATTTGATGATGATCATTAATCACACTATATGTTTTTTTTTTTAAATCTGATATATGTTTGTTTAAAAATCTGATTTCATGGATTTTTGGTGTCTAGAGGGTGTGAAAGAGAAGAAGGAAGCTCTTGGAGAGGTACTGAATGGTGATAGGCTTGTAAGTGCTCCATACAAGCTCAACTTCAGAGACGAAAAAGACTCTGAAGTGTACTGCAAGAAGAAGCTAAGCAAAGAAGAGGTCAAAAAGTTCCGAGAAGCTGTTGAGAAAGACTACTACTTCCAGATGTATTACGATGATCTTCCTATTTGGGGATTCATTGGGAAAGTTGATAAGGAGATCAAATCTGATCCGAGTGAATACAAGTACTTTCTTTACAAGCACATTGAGTTTGAGATTTTGTATAACAAGGACCGTGTGATTGAGATCAGTGCTAGGATGGATCCTCATTCGCTTGTTGATTTGACTGAGGATAAGGAGGTTGATGCGGAGTTTATGTATACTGTGAAGTGGAAGGAAACTGAGACTCCGTTTGAGAAGAGGATGGAGAAGTACTCTATGTCTTCTTCTCTTCCACATCATTTGGAGATTCACTGGTTCTCGATTATTAACTCGTGTGTCACTGTCCTTCTTTTGACTGGGTTTCTTGCAACTATCTTGATGAGAGTCCTCAAGAACGATTTCACGAAGTAAGTTCATGGTCAGCTATTTTACATTTCCTTTTCTTATGTTTAACATTTTTTTTCCATGATGAAAAGGTATGCTCAAGATGAGGAAGCTGCTGATGATCTAGAAGAAACTGGATGGAAGTACATTCATGGTGATGTGTTTAGGTTTCCAACGCGCAATTCTTTGTTTGCTGCATCACTTGGTAGTGGTACTCAATTGTTTACCCTGTAAGTCTTTCATTAACTCTACTATTTCCATCTAGATTACACCGTTCACTATGACTAACTGTAGCTTTTTCCTTGCTCCTCCATGCCCATCAGGACTATATTTATTTTCATGCTTGCTCTTGTTGGAGTGTTCTACCCTTACAACAGAGGAGCACTCTTTACCGCTTTGGTGGTCATTTACGCTTTAACTTCTGGAATTGCCGGATACACATCCGCCTCTTTCTATTGCCAACTTGAAGGAAAAAGCTGGGTAAATAACTATACATTTAAGTCTTTTTCCAGATCATCTTCTTACATAAAGTAAACAACTTCTTCTTTCACGTTACTGCAGGTGAGAAACTTGTTACTCACCGGATGTCTCTTCTGTGGTCCTTTACTCCTAACCTTCTGCTTCCTCAACACCGTAGCCATCACCTACACTGCAACCGCAGCATTACCCTTTGGAACCATTGTCGTTATCGTCCTTATATGGACTCTAGTCACATCGCCTTTACTCGTCTTAGGTGGCATCGCCGGTAAAAACAGCAAAGCCGAGTTCCAAGCACCGTGCCGCACAACCAAGTATCCCCGTGAGATTCCGCCACTCCCTTGGTACAGAAGCGCTATTCCTCAGATGGCCATGGCTGGTTTCCTTCCTTTCAGTGCCATCTACATCGAGCTTTACTACATTTTCGCTAGTGTATGGGGTCACCGGATCTACACCATCTACAGCATCCTTTTCATCGTCTTCATCATCCTCATCATCGTCACTGCTTTTATAACTGTTGCATTGACTTACTTCCAACTCGCTGCTGAAGATCACCAATGGTGGTGGAGGTTCGTTGAACTCATCCCATTGTCTCTACTTTTGTTCTCTCTGATCAGTAGAACCTGAGACTGTTTTTTATTTTCAGATCATTCCTATGTGGTGGATCTACTGGTTTGTTTATCTACGCCTACTGCTTATACTATTACTACGCACGATCTGACATGTCTGGATTCATGCAAACCTCGTTCTTCTTCGGATACATGGCTTGCATCTGCTACGGATTCTTCTTAATGCTCGGGACCGTCGGCTTCCGCGCTGCACTTTTCTTCGTTCGTCACATTTACAGGTCGATCAAATGCGAGTAAGAAAGACTTCTTACTTTGTTCTCTTCTTCTTCTGCCTCCTTAAGAATTTTTGCTAGAACAAAGAAAAGATAAAGAGATAGGTTGTTAGAAAGAAGGGAGACACAATGACAATGTCTGATTATTTCTGAAAAGCATCTCCTCTTGTTATTAGAGGTTTTACTTTAGGTGAGTCTCTCTCTTCTTCTCTCGTTATTTTGGGCTACAGGAATTAAAATTACATGTATCTTTTTTTCTATATATATTTTATGGATTGTAAAAGATGATCATACTTTGAACTGTTTTTTTGGTATGTAATAAAATGTCAAAGCTCGTATTTTTCACTTTTGATATCTGTGGCACTGTGCTGCATAATAACAAATATACCAATTCTAAGATAGTAGATGAAGCCATCAACGCAAAAAGGGCTGTGTCTTTGGTTTCAACGGTGAAGAAGGCTGAAAAGGAAAAGAGAATGCCTTATCTTGAATCTTGCTAAAGTCGAGCAAGTACTAGAACAACACTTGGACCAAAAAAGAAGAGAAAAAAAAACTTGTGCACAAGCAAAACAGAGAGGGATAAAGAAAACCGCAACTTGATGAAGCTAAAAAAAATGGTTCGACACGATGACAAGAAAGACCAATAAGTGGGCTTTAGTTATATTTTTGTCTTCTTCTGAAATGGCTTTCTTACAGCCAGTTACAGCGACCAAACATAAAAATAGTCAAGGCGGAGAGAAAAATGAAAAAAAGCCTTTTGGAAAGATATTTATTTTAGATTGTCTTTTTTAAAATTAGAAATAATTTTTCTAATTATTTTAGGGTTCTCTCTCTGTTCCACTCAAAATAAAATAAAAACCCTCTTTCCCTTTCTTCAGATCTTATCTTTCCCCTCAGGTTTCTCTCTCCTCTCTCTCTCTCTCTCCTCTCTCTCCAGAAGGGCAAAAATTCCCTTAAAGAGTCGTTTGTTAACCCAATCTCATAGGTAAGTTTTCTCTTTCCTAATCCATTTCCATAACCTGTCTCTCTCTCTTTCTCTCAGTTTTGAAAATTTACAATCGACTTTTTTTCCTGTGTGTACTGTACCCACGCTTTTGCTTCATATCCTTTTTATCTCCTTTAGATATATATATATGTATATAACTTGAGTTTTCATCAGAATTCGCCTGTGGATCTTCTTAATTCATGTCCATTTTCACTAGATCTAGCTCTGTATTTTCCAGATCTAGAATAAAAAATGTTCAACAGATGTGAGAATTTCATAAAGAGTTCGCTGGATTTAATGTTTATATAGATTAATTTTGTTTTGCTTATAACTCTTGTGAATGATTTACATTATTGTTCAATATAAGAAATGTTAGAATCCAGCAATTGTTTGTTTTTTTTTGGGGATAATTTGCTTGTGAATTGAGAAACCTGTTGTCTTATTATGTCTGAATTTGGATCTGAATCTCTGGTTTGTCTGTTTTTTTTTAACCACATTCTTTTGTAGATCTTTTGAAATGGATGATGATGGGTTTCGTAATTGGGGATACTACGAACCAGCTGCTGCTACATTCAAAGGTAACCTCGGTTTACAGCTAATGTCAACCACTGATAGTAACACTAAACCGTTTTTACCCGGTCGAGACCCGAGTCTAATGATGAGCCAAAACGGTTCATACCACCACCCTGAACCACCCATCCACATGAGCTACAATTGGATTAACCAACAAAGGGACAAGTTCTTCAACATGTTGCCTGTCACAACAACCACTCCTAATTACGGAAATGTCCTTCCCGAAACTTCGTCAGCCCCATCCATGCATCATCATCATCATCATCATCAAACCGAGGATCATCTGGTTAAATGCGAAGAAGAAGAAGAAGAGATTGTTCAGCCTAACAAGAAGAGAAAGCCTAACTCAAAAGCTAGCACCACAACAACAAAGGGGAAGAAACCTCGTAAACCAAAAGAAGACAACGACAACAAAACCAACGTCTCAAGAATCAAACCGGCTAAGAAAAGCGTTGACTTGGTTATCAACGGAGTCAACATGGACATTTCTGGTCTCCCTGTCCCCGTCTGCACTTGCACCGGAGCTCCTCAGCAATGCTATCGTTGGGGATGTGGTGGTTGGCAATCTGCGTGTTGCACCACCAACATATCCATGCATCCGTTGCCTATGAGTACTAAACGCCGTGGAGCGAGGATCTCCGGGAGGAAGATGAGTCAAGGAGCGTTTAAGAAGGTTCTTGAGAAACTTGCTTCTGATGGGTTTAATTTTGGGAACGCCATTGATCTTAAGAGCCATTGGGCTAGACATGGGACTAACAAGTTCGTCACCATCAGATGATTTAGTTTCAGGTAATCTCTCATGTGAGTTTGGAAACAGTCTTTTTTATAATACGGTTGCTTTTATGTTCTTGTAGTCTCTGTTTGTTTGTTTGTATGTCTGAGGAAGAAGGTGACTGAGAAAATCTGCAGGGAAGTTTGATTTTCTTACTTTTGTTCTTTCTTTTGTTATCTTTATAAACATTTTACTGACTTGTAAGCTGTAACAGATATTCTTTTAAATTAAATGTTTTATTTCTCTGATTATATATGTACACTAGTTGGTGAATTATGTTTATATTTACTGAATAATCTAATGTCTGATTACATTAAATTGATCCATACATATGGAAAATGTCTCTACTTACATTGAAATAATGTTCTTATTTAAAATTAATTTATATCCTTTTAACATGTTTTGTAAATCAATAAATAGAATAGATCAACGTGTGTTCAACTATGTAACAAAATCACATAATTAATTTGAATTTTGACCATATAATTAAAATTTCTGTCAGAATAAAAAACGATGGTTTGTTAAAATATTCATAAACATTTACCTACCAGAAACAATAGGTTAAACATGGTTATATTTGCCGAATTTGACTCTCCTAGTTATAAACCATTATGAGCCTTTAAAGCTGATCCTATAAACTAGTGTTGTCTGATTTCCCTCCCTCATGGGTTTTCTTCGTTGTCTGAATCAGCATTCTCTGCTCTCTCACGTAAAACCCTTCCTATAAAAGCCACACCTTTCCAGACGACTATAGCCACAGCAATAGTTCCAAAGATCTTGGAGAATAAAAAAGAAAACCTTCAAAAAACAAGAAAAATTTGATATCATCAGGCATCACACCATGTAAAAACAGAAACATGATGAGTCTTGTCGTCCTTACTCTGAATTTGACTTCAAGTTGGCAACCATTTTATCAAATGAGCTTGAAGATCCTAAAAGACTGTTCATTGGGTTAATGAACTGTGAGATTACCAGCTTCGTCTCTAGAAGCCTACAGTACAGACAAGGACACAGACATATCAAACTTATATTAGCTTGTACAGCCACTCTTACATGATCCACAAAATAAAAGAATAAACAAACACATGGGAGCTTCCTTTACCTCACCAATAATAGTTAATGAAGTACCAGTATCGAGAGAAGCTTGACAAATCACCTAAAGATGAAAACAATCACATTGTTGGTTCCAACCCAATGAAAAAAAACAGAGAAAGACACAAAAAAAAAAAAGGTAACCTTAGAGCCTTGTTGAGGTTTTCCAATCCTATCAAAGATTTCACTTAGTGACATACCAAATTGCGGTGTACTCAATGAGCACTCACATTCACAATTGAAAGAAGAGCTTCGGAGAGAATCGACAGGCTGATTTTTGTAATTTAGGGTTTAATGCGTGGAATATAGTCTAGGGGCTAGCTTGATATATATAATTGTTCAATTAAGAACAGGGTTATTTTCGACTTTTTCACATTTTCCCGCGCATGTGTTTACATTTTCACTACTCTGTTTTCTTTTTTGTTTGAACATCAAAATCTCCTTAATCGAATTAAAAACATAATCTTTTCTTAACCGTACATTCTTTAAAATAAGATTGAAATCCTATCAAACTATTTTTTCCAAAAAAAAATAATTTGTATAGACAGATTTGAAATTTTTTTCTTAAACACTTGATAGATTAATTTAAGAATTTTGAATAATTAGTTCAACTCAGAGTCACAAACATACAATCACTCACTAATTTGTCAACAGAATTTTTTTTATTACATTCATCTCTAGTTCCCAACTCCTTACTCACATAAACCAGTGCTAACGAGGGTATCTCTTGGCCTCTAAAGAAGCGTAAGGACTTCACTTAGTAGAGGATGAAGATTCATTCACTTGCATTCCTATAAACACCACTGTTCTCTGATTCTCCTCCTTAAATGGTGTCTTCACTGTCTGAATCAGTAGTCTCTGATCTCTCACGTAGAACCTTTCTTATGAAAGTCACACCTTTCATGACGGCTATAGCCACAGCAATAGTTCCAAAGATCTTGGAGTAGAAAAAATAAAACCTGCCAAAAAAAAATAACACAAGCAATTTTGATATCATCAGGCATCACCACCATGTATAAACAGAAACATGATGAGTCTTGTCGTCCTTACTCTGAATTTGACTTCAAGTTGGCAACCATTTTATCAAATGAGCCTTCTCCATTGAAGATCCTAAAAGACTGTTCCTTAGGTTTTTGAATCATGAGATTACCAGCTTCGTCTCTAACAGCCTACAGAACAACACTTCACTCTTACATGATCCACAAAATAAAGCAAAAAAAACACATGGAGGGTTCCTTTACCTCGCCAACAATAGTTAAGGAGGTACCAGTATCAAGAGCACCCCGACAGATCACCTAAAGAAAAAGAACATCACATTGTTAGTTCCAAGTTCCAACCACATTGGAAGATTTGAGAAGCAAATGAATGAGAACAAAGAGGGGAAACCTTAGAGCCTTCTTGGGGGTTTTCAAACCTCTGAAAGATTTCATTAATTGACAATGTCATATCAAATTGCGGTTTCAGAAGATCAACATATCCATCAGCAAGTTCAGCTCTCACTACTTTCACCAGAGCCCCCGTACTGTCTTCCTAAATAGTCATTGAGTGTGAGAAATAAGCAACAGTGAAAAAGGAAGGTAGGCTTAAATCAGCGAAAAAAAAGGTATTTTGAGAATTGTTAACTTACAAGATACCAAGGAGTATCCTTGATTTGAAACAGAAAATTATGAGACTTGTTTATCAAACCACCATCATTGTCCAACTTAGTCTCATACCCCATTTCAAACTGAAAGACATCACCACCAGGCCAAAGAATTAAAGATGAAGATGACAACTTTACCAAAAATAAAAAATAAAAAAATCTTACCTTAGCTTCAAAAACATCACCAGAAGAATCATTATCATGTTTGCAGTTAAAGGGCGTTGCAGAAGCAACTTTTCCGGACACAGCAACAAGGAGATTCGTGGCTTTCTCTTTAAGCAAATCATCTGAGAGACCAGAAAAAAAAAAAAACTTGAATCATTTCATTTGTAAAATCAGAAACCAATAAAAAAGAGTCTGAATTAGTATTCAAACTGACAAAAACATTACCTAACAATTTGAAGTCAACCACACGGGTAATACTGTTAAAAGAGTCAGCTTTCCTACACCAATCCCAGAAACACACACACACACACATATTTGATTAAAAGAAAGTGTTTGTAACACTCACAAAAGGGTTTAGGGAAAAGACTAACCCTTTAATTCTACGGCCCCATAGGTAACATGCTGTGGCACCACATGACAAATAAACAGCAATCTGAAGCATCTGAAAACCAAACAAAAAAAAAATCAGACAAATTGATCTTACTACAACTCTACATTTACATTAGATCAGAAGCCCTAAAGAACTTGCAAGATCTACTTAACTAGTTCAGAACACACAAGTTCATAACTTCATATCCCAGAAAATACAAGAAACAAACACTAGAAGGGCAGTGATGAATTGATGAAAGCTCTAAGTATTTTTTTTTATGTTGAAAGAGAGAAGAAGAAGTTGAGACCTTAAGGGAGTTACTCACAGTCACAGCTGGAGAGAAGGAGATTTGGAGAGAATCGACCTGCTGATTTGGTAATTTAGGGTTTAATGCGTCGAATATATATTTAGGGGTAAAGAATTTGATGTAGCTTTTTAATTTAGACCACTTTTGTAAATTTTAAATACATTTCTCCCGGTCATCATTTTCCTGCTCTTCTTTTACTTATTGTCACAAAAAGTCAAAACTTAGAGTGTACACACACACACACGGTGACCAATTTTGTCAACAAATCTTTTGATTCCATTCAAATCTCTGATTATCAACTCCCTACTCCGTTAACCGGTGCTATATAGACTCGGTTATGTAACCGGTTGATCTGGTTCAGAGCCGCAAACCGAAGTGTATGTAGAGCAGAATCTTCCTTTTGTTATAGAGAGAGAGTCTCCTCACTTCCTTGAAATATCCGTTTTGGCCATTTAGGCACCACAAATTAAATCCTTAGAAAAACTCGATCAAATTCACCACCAAGTATAACATAAAGGTAGTATTTTAATCATATCCGGACGGAACTGGTCGAGGAAAAACTTTTAAACCTCAATCGCTTTGCGTTAATCGCTAATACCAGATCATAAAACTACACCAACAATCAGAAATACCAATAAAAAAAAAAATTGTTCTTTTGTTAATCTGAAACCAATAAATACACAATAACAAGAGTCTGAGTGTTATCACATAGAAAACACACCTAACCGTTTGAAGTCAACCACACGGGTGATACTGCTAAAAGAGTCAGCTTCCCTGCAATCATCGCAGAAACACACATAAAGATTGATAAAAGTGTTTAAAACACACTCAATATCCAAAAGGAGTGTTTAGGGAAAAGACTAACCTTTTAATACTACGCCCCCAAAAGTAACATGCTGCTGCACCACACGACAAATATAACCCACTCTGAAGCATCTGAAAACCAAATCAAACAAATTTGATGTTAAAACACTGTAAGAACCTACAAGTTTTTACCACACAAGTCCATATTTTTCAAAGAGATACGAGAAAAACACTTGTAAGATTACGAAGCAAACAAACAAACAAAAAAACACTAGAAGGGCAGTGATGAATTGATAAAAAGAACTAGTCTTTTTGCTCTTGAAGTAGAGAAGAAGATGATATGATACTCAATGAGCACTCACATTCACAATTGAAGAAGAGCTTCGGAGAGAATTTACAGGCTGATTTAGTAATTTAGGGTTTAATGCGTGGAATATAGTCTAGGGGTTAGCTTGATCGTTTTATATACATTTTCCCGCTCATGTGTTTACATTTTCACTAATCTATTTTCCTTTTTTTGTCAACTATTTTCCTTTTGTTTGAACATCAAAATCTCATACATCGAATTAACAACAAACTCTTTTTTTCAATGACTAGAAAGTACCTTCCTTAAATTAAAGATTGAAATCCTAATAATCTATTTTTTAACTATATTTTTTGTAGTTGGAATTGAAATTTTCCTTAAACACTTATTAATAGATAATCTTAAAATTTTAATCATTAGTTCAACTTCTGTTTTATAAATGAAGCGCATGATTCCTGGATGGATGAGCAAACTAACATCAATACAATGACATAGACATATGAAACTTTAATGTTGATATTGTAGGTACAAACTTGTATAAAATAGTTTTCGTTTGAAAAGATAAACATAACCATAAAAATAAAACAATCTTGCTTTTTTTTATAGTTTTTCTTGAAAATGAGATCATATGCTTCCACAAAAGCCTTCAAAGCCGTGGACTCTCTCTATCTCTAAAGAAACATAAGTGACTTCACTTGCTAGAGGATGAAGGTTCATTCACTTGCATTCCTATAAACTACTGTTCTCTGATTCTCCTCCCTGAATGGTGTCCTCGCTGTCTGAATCAGTAGTCTCTGATCTCTCACGAAGAACCCTTCTTATGAAAGTCACACCTTTCATGACGGCTATAGCCACTGCAATAGTTCCAAAGATCTTGGAGTAGAAAAAATAAAACCTACACAAGATAAATTTTGATATCACCACCCTCCCCCAAGTAGAATTTATAACAGAAACATGATGATGAGCCTTACTCTGAGTTTGACTTTAAGTTGCCAACCATTTTATCAAAGGAGCCTTCTCCACTGAAGATCCTAAAAGACTGTTCCTTGGGTTTTTGGATAGTGACATTACCAGCCTCGTCTCTAGCAGCCTACAGTACAGACAAAGACACAGACATATCAACTTATATTAGCTTGCATAGCCACTCTTACATGATCCACAATTTCCCTGAATAAAGAAATAAACACATGGATTGGGAGGTTCCTTTCACCTCGCCAATAATAGTTAAGGAGGTACCAGTTTCGAGAGCACTCCGGAAAATCACCTAAAGAAAAGAACATCACATCGTTGGTTCCAAGTTCCAACCCAATGGAAGAGGGGAGGAAAAACAGAGAAAGACAACAACAACAACAACAAAAGCAATGAATGAACAATGGGAACCTTAGAGCCTTCTTGGGGTTTATGAAACCTCTGAAAGACTTCAAAAATTAATGAGAAATCAAATTGCGGTTTCAGAATATCAACATAACCATCAGCAAGTTCAGCTCTCACTACTTTCACCAGACCCGTACCGTCTTCCTGATTGTGAAAGAGTTAGGCTTAAGTCATTGTAAATAGCAAAAAGAAGGTATTGAAAATGTAACTTACAAGATACCAAGCAGTATCCTTGATTTGAAACAGAAAATTATGACACCTGTTTATCAAACCACCATCATCGTCCAATTTGGTCTCATAACCCATTTCGAACTGAAAAACAGTATATTACATATATATATATATATGTGTGTGTAATGACACCACAAGACCAGAAACTTATGCCATAACTTTTACAGAAAAGCAAAATAAAATCTTACCTTAGCCTCAAAAACATCACCCGAAGAAGCATCATCAGGTTTGCAGTTCAAGGGCGTTGCAGAAGCAACTTTCCCGGACACAACAACAAGGAGCTTCGTGGCTTTCTCTTTAAGAAAATCATCTAAGAGAAGGATTCGTGATCAGTTGTTGTAATCAGAAACCAATTAATACATAATAATAATAACAGCTTTACAAGAAAAAAAAATTAATACATAATAACCGAATGATAAAAGTGACAAACATACCCAACCATTTGAAGTCAACTGCACGGGTAATACTATTAAAAGAGTCAGCTTTCCTGCACCAGCACAGAAACACAAAACATATATCGATTGATTAAAAAGGTTTTAACACATTCAATATCCAAAAGAGTTGGGAAAAGACTAACCCTTTAATTCTACGGCCCCAGAGGTAACATGCTGTGGCACCGCATGACAAATAAACAGCAATCTGAAGCATCTGAACGACAACAAAAACTTGATCTTAAGACACCCTACATCTACATTTTATCACTTGCAAGATCTACTTACACGCAAGTCCATATCCCAAGAATAAGATAAAACACTTGGTCAGATTACGAATCAAACAAAAACCCACTAGAAGGTTAGTGATGAATTGATGACAGCTCTAGTTTTTTTTTTTGAAAGAGAGAAGGAGATGAGACCTTAAGTGAGTAGTCACAGTCACAACTGAAGAGCTTCTGAGAGAATGGACCGGCGGATTTAGCAAGTTAGGTTTAATGCGTTGACTATATAATATTTAGGGGGTAGCTTGATATAATTATGTAGTTAAGGGTTACTATAGACTTTTCCAATTTCAAATAAATTTCTCCCGGTCCACACATTCACATTAGAAAGACAAATATTGAAGCTACTATAAGAGCACAGGAGCATGATTAATCCATAAGAGCATGTTTAATGCATGTTGCTTAGAGAGTTGCTTAGGAGGAGAAGGGTGCTTAATTTGAAGAAAGAGAGTGTGAAAAGTGCTTAATTAAGCAACTTCTCTCCTCCTAAGCAACTCTCTCTCTTCAAATTAAACACTCATCTCCTTTTAAGCAACTCTCTAAGCAACCTCCATTAAACATGCTCTAAGTGCTTAGGGAGTTGTTTATTTTTTTTTCTATGATTAAAAAAAATTGAAAATCCCATTAAATACGGATCGTCAAGTGTTAGTAAAATCTACGAACAGTGCAAACATTCCTCTTGGATCGGCGTTTATACAAGCTGTAGAGACATCTGTTGTTATTTTTTTTTGGGTAAAAGACATCTGTTATTTAAATTTTGTGTACCCCACCGTAGGATCTACCAATTATTTAATTAATTTTTGTTAAGCTTTCTTTTCATTTAGTACCTACGTTGAAGATGGCCTAACAGATGATTTTTTTACTCTTCTATTACTATCCTAAAGTCTGTCACAAAAGGTCTAAACTTGGATTGTTTTTTGCTTCGTTCAATCTCTAATTGTCAACTAACTCCCTACTCCGTTAACCGGTGCTATATAGACTCAGTTATGTAACCGGTTTAGTCTGGTTCAGAGCTGCAAACCGAAGTGTATGCAGAGACAGAATATTCCTTTTGGTATAAGCCACAAAGTTTATAGGAGCTGTTGAGAGTCTCCTCACTTTCTTGAAATATCCCGTTTTGGCCATGATGACCCCAAGTATAGGCACCACAAAAAAAATACATTAAACAAAGTATTGTTTAGTTAATTGGACAAGTGGACAAGATGCTTCGCTATTTTGTATGTCCGAGGAAGAAGGTAATTGAGAAAATCTGCAGGGAAGTTTGAAATTTTTTACTTTTGTATTTTTTTTTCCCTTTCTTTCCTTATATTTATAAATATTTTACTGACTTGCAAGTTGTAACAGATATTCTTTTCTTATTAAATATTTTTATTTCTCACGTTATATGTACAAGTTGGTGAATTATGTTTATGTTCATTGACTAAGATCCAAACAAGAGAAAGAATTGTCTGTTTACTTTGAAGTAATGTCCTTAAATTAATTAATACCATCCTTAACATGTTTGAAAGCTATAAATAGAATAATACCGACGTGTGTTCAACTATGTAATAAAATCACATATTAATGTGAATTTAGACCATATAGTTAAAAAAAAAAAGTTTGTTACTTCTATCGGAATAAGAAACAATGGTTTGTTAAAATATTCATAAACATTTTACCTACGCAATACAATAGTTTAAAAATGGTTCAATATTTTTCTCTCCTGGTTATAAGCCATTGGTGTCTGATTCTTCTCCCTGAGCCTCTAAGCTGATCCTATGAACTACTGTTCTCTGATTCTCCTCCCTGAATGGTGTCTTCGCTGTCTGAATCAGCATCCTCTGCTCTCTCACGTAGAACCCTTCTTATGAAACTCACACCTTTCACGACGGCTATAGCCACTGCAATAGTTCCAAAGATCTTGGAGTAGAAGAAATAGAACCTGCAAAGTGAACACAACAAAACTTGAATTCATCACCTCTCCCTCCCAAGTAAAATTTATAACAGAAACATGATGAGTCTTACTCTGAGTTTGACTTTAAGTTCCCAACCATTTTATCAAAGGAGCCTTCTCCACTGAAGATCCTAAAAGACTGTTCCTTGGGTTTTTGGATCGTGAGATTACCAGCCTCGTCTCTAGAAGCCTACAGGACATAAAAGGACACAACAGACATATCAGTCCATATAACTTACATGATGCACAAATAACTTACATATCAGTGTTCCTTTACCTCGCCAACAATAGTTAATTAGGTACCAGTATCGAGAGCACCCCGACAGATCAGCTAAAGAAAAGAACATCACATTGTTGGTTCCAAGTTCAAACCCAATGGAAGAAACGGAGAAAGACAACAACAAAAAAAAAAAAAAAGCAATGAATGAGAATAATGGGAACCTTAGAACCTTCTTGGGGGTTTTCAAGCCTCTGAAAGACTTCATCTATTGACATTTCAAATTGCGGTTTCAGAGTATCAACATATCCATCAGCAAGTTCAGCTCTCACTACTTTCACCAGACCCCCTGTACTGTCTTCCTAAATAGTCATTGAGCGTGAGAGAAAATAAACATTGAAAGAGGTAGGCTTTCTTAAGTTAGCAAAAAAAAAAAAATTAGAAGGTATTGAGAATGTAACTTACAAGATACCAAGCAGTATCCTTGATTTGAAACAGAAAATTATAACAGCTGTTTATCAAACCACCATCATCGTCCAACTTGCTCACATAACCCATTTCTAACTGAAATACAGTATATATATGTGTGTAATGAGACCACCAAACCAGAGCATTATGCCACAACTTTTACAAAAAAATAGAAAGAAAAAAAAACATCTTACCTTAGCCTCAAAAACATCACCCAAAGAATCATCATCAGGTTTGCAGTTAAAGGGCGTTGCAGAAGCAACTTTCCCGGACACAACAACAAGGAGATTCGTGGCTTTCTCTTTAAGCAAATCATCTAAAAGAAGGAAATAAACTTGATTACTTGTTGTAATCAGAAACATAATAACCGAATTAGTCCTCGGCATTTTATCCGAAACCTGAAAACCGAACGAGAACGAAAACAAAAAAACCGACACCGAACCGAAAATTACAAAAATTCCAACAGTTCCTATTTTTCTAAACCTGGAAAACCAAAACTGAACTAAGAACCAAATGGATACCCCAAATATTTTAAATATAATAAAAAAATATTAATTATTTTTAGTTTTAATATATATAAAATGTAATTATTTAAATAAAAAATATCTAAAACCCAAATTACCTGGATATTTTCTGGGTTTAACTCGGTTTTTTTTTTTTTGGGATCTAAACCCAAACCAAACTTGAACTATTTCTAGTTAGGTTCCACTTTGGGTTTTATAAAAAAAAATAGAAACCCGACCCGAACCCAACATTTCCCGAACCGATCAGATCCAAAAAATTTCGGGTTCTTAAACACCCCAACCCAAATAACCCGAGAAACGAATAATCCGAACCGGACCGAAAACCCGAATGCTCAGCACTAAACCGAATGATAAAAGTGACAAACATACTTAACCATTTGAAGTCGACCACACGGGTAATACTGTTGAAAGAGTCAGCTTTCCTGCACCAGCGCAGAAACAAAAACATATATCGATTGATTAAAAAGTTTTTAACACATTCAATATCCCAAAGAGTTGGGAAAAGACTAACCCTTTAATTCTACGGCCCCAGAGGTAACATGCTGTCGCACCACACGACAAATAAACAGCAATCTGAAGCATCTGAAAACCAAATCAAACAAACAGATTTGATCTTAAAACACTTTCTACTCAACCATTTACAATTTGACCAGAAGCCTTAAGAACTTGCAAGATCTACTAACTAGTTGAAAACACACACAAAATCAGATTACGAATCAAACAAAAGCCCACTAGAAGGGTAGTGATCTCCCGGTCACACATTCACAACTTCTTTTCCCCCCATATTGCTATATTTATTCAACACCGTGTTAGTAACAATTATTGCATTAACTGTTAAATAATTTTATTCAACATGCGATTGTAAATGGTCTTAGAAAGACAATCTTGAATCGACACAGTCATCATTTCTCAAATTACAAAATAGCGAAGCGTAGAGATTTCATTTTAATATATATCTTGTCCACTTGTCCATTAGGCCTTGAATTGCAAGCCTGGGCCCTCTCTCCATTTGAGTTTGTCTTCTCATAGCCAGTAACGATTTATAAACTAAACAATACTTTGTTTGATGGAATTTTCTGTTCTTTTTCTCTAATAAGTTGAAGGTAAAAATAATGTGAGTAGTTTTCTATTTTTTTTTCAGGTTTCAACAACTAAAATAATTCGTAAAAATAAAAACCGATGACAAGAAAATGATATTTGGCTAGTCATACGCAGTGGGCTGTTCAACGATTATTGGAAAAAAATTGGAAGTCTCGTTACATCCACATGAATAATGTGACTAAGCCTAATAACTGAATTATATTTCAAACACAGTGGTATGGCCACATGTGTAGTTTAGCAATTATCTAAGATGTCATGTACTGTATGCCAACGCATTCACCCAAAAATATATACCAGCTCCGTTTTTCTTGGTTGGTTCCTAAACTATTTTTCCTTAGAGCACCCCCATCAAGGGTTGATGGGGGGAGTTCACACGGAAACCGAGAAAAAAAAATAATAATAAAATCAGATTTCTATAAACTCCTCTTTCAAAAGTTCACCGCGGTGAACCCCGATGACCCCGTGTTCACCACGTGTCAACATATGATTGGTCCAAAATTAATTTTTTTTTTATTTTTTTTTTGAAAAAGTAAACGAAAATTACAAAAAAAAAATTATTTTTTTATTTCTATGAACCCCCAAGGGGGGGTTCATCAATGTGGGTGCTCTTAGTAATTTGCTCTTATAACAAATGATCTGTTTGTACAAAATAATATTTTGGGAAATTATCAAACCCAACTATTCCATAACGGTAGATTATGTTTTTTAGTCAGTAAAATGTTTAAAAAAAATTCAAGAGTGATTTAGTGAACTACCCATATTTGAGGCTCAAA